GTAGCAGGCAGGGATTGTCTTAATTATGATAATTAAGTAGAGAGAGAGTGAGTGAGTGGGTAGGAAAAGACCTGCTTATTTACCACAGCCCCAGTCTTCCCTGCTCTCCTCACAACCCCAGAGCTGAGGCCTAAACAACTACATTACTAATTCATCCAAGTCAGAACACACACACACACATACACATACACATGCACACATGCATACACATACATACTCATACACACACATATACATACATACACACACACGAGCGTATACATACACACACACATGCACACATACATACACATACATACTCATACACACACATATTCATACACACACACACGACCGCACGCATACACACACACATACATACACATACACACATATACACACACATACATGCACACACATATGCACACATACATACACATACACACACATACATGCACACACATACACAAACATACCCACAAACACACACACACCTCTTTTTAAAATCTTCAGTGACAGCTTCTATTTGCCCAGTAGGTGGATTATACTAGGTTTGGTGAAAAGCTATATCCATCCTTCTGGTGATGGGGCTAGAGTTAGATTGTGATAGCCCTGGAATCATTACAACAGCCAGAACCTAGGGCAAGGAAGAAAGGAGACAAGGGGAGCAGGGAGGGTGGTGGGTTGGCAGGGTGGGAACAGCCTGAATTTAGCTTTTCTGCATAATTGGGGGCCAAATTAGTTAGGCGTCTGTCTCTTCCACATACCAGGGCTGGACTCCAGGGGAATGTTGGTCTGGTACACAGCCTGGACACCTGGGTACCACAACCCATTCCTCACCACAGCCTTGATCTTCATCTCTGAATCATCCTTTAATGAGGTCCCATTTTCAGTCTGCACACCATTATTAAGTGTAACATTCCTTCCATGACTGTGCACTATTGTCCCCCCAATCTGAGAACTGTGGGGGTGACTGTAGGACTATTTTTGTTGGGACTGTCTGCTCCCCAATAATGACATGGAGACTTACTATTAATTATGAAAGCTCAACTGATAGCCTAGGCTTGTTTCTAACTAGCTCTTATAACTTAAATTAACCCATTTTTATCAATTTACTTTCTGCCTCGTGGCTTTATTACCTCATCTCTGCATTTCCCATCCTGTTGCTCTGCATCTCCTGGCGTCTCTGCCTTCTTCCCAGCATCCTCTCTGCCCCAAAAGTCCTGCCTAGCTATTGACCATTTAGATTTTTTATTAAACCAATCAGTGTGACACATCTTCACAGTGTTTCTCCCTTTTCTAAATGAAAAGGAAAGGGTTTTTACCTCTAACATAGTAAAACTATATACAATAAGAACAATTACCAAGTAAGAATTACATTTACAATGTTCTGTCCATTTGTATTTGACATACTTGGAGAAAATAATCTATTTTCTATCTTATTTTGATGAACTTAAAGTTTTATACCTAAATCATTTTTATCATAACTGTATTATCATCTTAAAACTATTTTTAGACCTCTAAACATTTTTTAGACAATTAAGCTTCTATGTCTCTCAACATTATAAACTTTACATTTCTTATGTTTCTTTTCTGAATTTGGTAACAAGGAAAACTGTAAAACTATAACTATCTAGTCTTCAGTCTCCATCAGAGACCCAAGAAGGATAAAATATTAGAAATGACAGAAACAGCTGTCTGCCTGGACAGTCACCCAAGTTTCCTCTGTAACACTGGGGCATCCATCTTTGTATCTATCACATGGAGGTTCTTTGATGCCCATCATCCTTTTTTGAAGTAGATTGCTGCTGCCACGAGCAGAACTGTCTCACTGTCATAAAAAGCCTTGTGTTATTAAAACATCTTAAATGACATATTCTGTAGGTCTTTGAAGTATTTGAAAATCACTTATCCACCTAAAATATATCTCTGTATGACCTTGAAAACATACCTAACATGACTATAAGTTTGATAGTTATAGATGTCTAGCAACCTGTATTTCTTTATTATCCTGAATAGCTTTCAAGGGTTACCACCTTACATTACATTTTTAAATGAGCTGCACAGGTACAAAATCTTTTATTCATTTTTGTTTTGAGAACGGGTTCTCTATGTAGCCTTGGCTGTCCTAGAACTCGCTCTGCAGACCAGGCAGGCCTCAAACTCACAGAGATCTACTTGCCTCTGTCCTCTGAGTGCTGGAATTAAAGTCATATACCCATCTAGGTACAATATCTAGGTACAACAAATATACAGTATAACAAAAACAATCTTAAATTTGTATGAATATACAAAAACCCAAGCCAATGTAACATATTTGAGACTAGTAGTTTAGTAGTTGCTTTTTTTTTTTTTTTTTTTTGAGACAGGATTTCTCTGTATTGCTTTGGAGCTTCTCCTGGCACTTGCTCTGTAGACCAGGCTGGCCTTGAACTCACAGAGATCTGCCTGCCTCTGCCTCCCAAGTGCTGGGATTAAAGGCGTGTGCCACCAACACCCATTGTAGTTGCTCTTCTAGTTTGAAAGTAAGTACAATAATCTACCCCTTTATCCTATCATTTCTCCTTTTGTTTTCAGAACAAGATTCCTGAATCTGATCTCCTTTGCTTAGTGTACTCCCTGACCATGACCAATAACAACTTGTGATCTACCTCTCTGAGCAATGACAAACATCCATCCAATGACCAAAATCTGCTCACTTTACTTCTTGGGAGTGTTTTTAAAATTGTTTCCTGTTGTCTGCGGGTTATAGCATCTTTAGGGGACCCTGAAAAAAATTAAGATAATGGTCTAGCCCTGGGGAAGCTAGCTGTTGTCCAGTCTTGGTGTGATAGGATAACTCGAGGCTTATCTGAAGTCCTGGCTGGAGTAGTCTATGAGGTTGGACCATCTTAGCTAACTGCCTTGAAATCATCCTGAGCAGTTAGTTTGTAGTCCGGAAATGATCTTTGGAATGGATTTGTCAGCTTAATGGCATCGTCATAATTCAGGTGGAATTTTTCATTGTGGGGCCCATCATCTTTTTAAAGACTTCAGACCTAGCTGCTAGGAATGTTCATGTTTCACTGCAGAAAGCTTAAACGTTTTAAGTGTTATATGCAGCAGAGATTAAAGGACCACAATCTATTAAATATACCCGGGATACACAGGCTTAATTCCTAATTACCTGCTTCAGACACAAGTCAAAATGAAATCAAAGGATTATGAGATTAGTGGCAATAGAATTGTCCCTAATTTTATTTTTTCTTCTGTCCCATACTAGGTGGCTCTTCTGACAGGAGATAAAGATTATGGATTTTCCTTTAACAAGCATGCTTGGGTTTAGAGAAGGAGAGAGCCATTCTCCAATTCCAAAGCCAGCTTTAATTTTTAATTGAATTGGGACTACAAAAAGACCACTTGCCTTATGTGTCTGTAGAGAACAGTAGAGACAAATATTTGGGAAGATTTATGAAAAAAAAATTGGGGGGGTTTTCCAGACAGGGTTTCTCTGTGGCTTTGGAACCTGTCCTGGAACTAGCTCTTGTAGACCAGGCTGGTCTCAAACTCACAGAGATCTCCAGCCTCTGCCTCCCAAGTGCTGGGATTAAAGGCGTGCACCACCAATGCCTGGCTGGACTTATGAAATTTTATCCTATTGGAAGTGTGCAATGCCATCAGGCTAATTTGCTCTCTTTCTTGGGACATTTTTTTTCTGGATGATTCCACCTTTGTCTGCAGATGTCTCATGTGTCCAGTGGTCTTCAGGTTCCTTAGCTGGATGCTTTTATTTTCCTATAAAAACAAAAACAAAAAAACTCCTGCCCCAGCCTTAACTTTAAAGAGTTTCATTGGACCATTGGCTCCCCACTAATGACACAAAGATTTGTTACTTACGAAAGCTCAGCAACAGCCTAGGCTTGTTTCTGACTGGCTCTTATAACCCAGAGAGGGTAAAGGTGGCAGAGCCAACCCTGAGTTCGATCCCCAGGACCAACTCCTGCAAGTTGTCCTTTAACCACATCCATCCATCCATCCATCCATCCATCCATCCATCCATACACACACACACACACACACACACACACAAATAAATATAATAAAACAATTGGTTTGAAAGCCAGATGTGGTGGCAAGAATCTGCAATCCCAACACTCCTAAGTCAAAATGGGAAGGTGAGACAGAACTACCCAGAAGCCCTTAGGGCAAGGCATCTTGGTAAAATTGTTCCCTGACCTCCATACTCACACACCATGGCACTCCTCCTGCACTCATGCATACACACAGAGAGATTGAGTAGTGCTTAAAATTGATTAAAATATATATTCACATATTATATAACATATGTTTTAACTATAGTCCCCACAATTTCATTGGAAAGGATCATTGTTGTGTGTGTCTTCACACCAGACTGTTCTGTGATAACTGTTCGTGCTTATTAATGCACAAAGCCCTATCCAGGCCAAAGGGACATTTTCAGTTTACTTTGATGACTGCCCAGTGTATTCTGGAGGTTGAATCTTCCAGGTTGTTTCTGGTAACACGAATAATGCTGCTAGGAATATCCTCTGTCCATTAGGACTGTTTCTCCATCACCTGCTCAGTCACAGGGTACCAAGTATTCACATCTTCCGAGACACATCTCCGGGCATAGCTTCTGTCAGTTCTTGTCACTGATGGGCAGATGAGTATGGCTGAACCAAAGGGCACGCCTCTTCTCTCCCTAAGGACAATGCTGCTCCAGGTTGGCTTAGCAGAGGTCACTCCTGGGCACAAAACAGGCTCCAGAGGAAGAAGGGGGAGCCAGGCTAGTTCCTGGTTTGTGGCTCTGGTCTTAGGACCACCTTCTTTGGGCCAGGGTTTCACTCGGTGGCCACGTTTAAACAGCCCTCAGGCTGGGCTGCTGGGGTTGAATGTGGAAAATTCTGTTTGAAATTGGGCGCCCCTAGGTAATCCAGAGACTCTGCGATACCCCTGGACGGGCTCCAGAATGCCCTGGCCTAGCATGTGGGGAGGGGAAGAGAGGCACAGGCTTCATTGAGATCGTCAAGGGCGGCATGGCCCGGCCCAGCCCCCATCCGGCCTCCGCCCCTGCCCTTCCTACGCTCCCGGCGGGCGACCTGGTAGCTCCAGAGCCCAAACCTGTCGGGCCGGTTTGTAGAGCCACGGGGACCAAGGGAAGAAGGCTGCAGAAGGATGCACGGCCTGCCGGGTGCTGGCCCGCACTGTCCACCTCCCAAGCCTGTGCTGCCCTCCCGCCCGAACTCATGACGCGCTCGCCCGGCCTCGTGGTACCCCTGCTGGGCCTGGGCCTGGGGCTGGCCCTGAGCCTGCCGGTGGCTGTGGCAGTCGACTGCGGGTCCTTCGCGCGAGTGGAGCACCTGGCATTCGCTCCAGTAGCCAAGACGCGATGGCTGGCCCCTCGTGTCCGCGCGCCGGGGCCCCTGGACTCCCTGTATGGCACCGTGAGGCGATTCCTCTCCGTAGTTCAGCTCAACCCCTTCCCCTCGGGTGAGTGGCCCCCGCCCCCCAGCAGCGGACCTCGGCCGGCACTGGGCCCCCAGCTAGCCTCTCTGCACACTCTGTCAGCAAGCACTTGATGGGGTGAGGCTTCTAGGCGCTGCACAGCCTTCTTCCAAACGTCCTGGGATTCCATGAGCAGTTCCGGAGCCTTCTTGTTTGACCTTGGGCTAGCGCTATATGCAAGAACATTGTGTTAAATCCGGCTCATTGTCCCGGTGTCAGAGGTCAGGAGGGCCAGAAGAGGCAGGCGGAGAGGAAGGCCTACCAGAGGGGTCCAGAAAGTCTGCTTGCAGGCCTTTTACCAGCTGCCTCTCCAGATGAGGCCTGGCAAGGTGTCACAGCCACATGACACTGCCTTCTGTAAAAACCTCCCTTAGCCTGGCAATAGGGAGAGGATAGACACAGGGTAAGGCAGTGGCTGTCCCCAAACCCTCTGCTTGCTTCCTTTCCCTAGAGTTGATAAGGGCCCTGCTGAATGACCCATCTTCTGTGAAGACAGATGAGGTGAGGATCTAGCCCCAGGGCCTGGGGGAGGGAGTTAAGGGCTGGCCCAAGGGCCCCTACCTGCTCAGTTCAGCCCACCTTGCTGAGTGTTTGCCAGTGTGGGGTCTTAAACATCCTCTTCCTTCCTGGCTTCAAGCCCTATATCTCCTTTTGACTCCTGGTGGGGCTTGGCCGGGACCCCAGTTCCCCTAGCCCTGGCTTGCCTCATGTGTATCCTGCCTGGGCCCACCAGGGTTCAAGTAGAGGTACACAGGCACTCTCTCCAACTCTGACTTCCACCGGAGTAGGGGAAAGGCAAGGGCTGCCTCCCTCATGCCATGCTGCCATGCCCAGGTGGTTCGGTACGAGGCAGGCTACGTGGTGTGTGCTGTGATCGCTGGCCTCTACCTCCTATTGGTGCCCACTGCCGGGCTCTGCTTCTGTTGCTGCCGTTGCCGCCGGCGCTGTGGGGGCAGAGTGAAGACGGAGCACAAGGCCATGGCCTGTGAACGAGGCACCCTCATGACCTTCCTGCTGTTGACCACCCTCGTGCTTCTGTGAGAGGCTGTGTGGGTCAGGGGGGAGGACTGAATGGTGGCCCTGTGCTCTTGGGCACACAGCAAACCGTTCCTCCTTGCCTCCGTCCCTGCAGGATTGGTATGGTCTGTGCTTTTGCCACTAACCAGTATACACATAGTCAGACAGGCCCCAGTGTGGAAGCTGTCCCCGAGACCCTGCTCAGCCTAAGAGGCCTGGTGTCTGATGTCCCTGGAGTGAGTACTATGCAATCCCCTCATCTGTGTGTGAGTGCCCTGCTTCGAGGCAGAGGCGGAGAACCGCATCTCTGCCTCCCACAAGCCTGCAAAGCAGAGAAGGTGTCCCTTCCTGTGTGCACTTGGGTGCCACCTGATGGACAGTCCCTGAAATGCCTAACTGAAGGATGGGGCTGCCCAAGGGCAAGGAAGATGGCTTACAACCCTGTGTTTGGCTAGGAGCTTCAGGCTGTGGCTGAGCAGTTCTCCGTGCCCCAGGAGCGAGTCTTGAAGGAGCTGGATGGTGAGGATTTTGGTTGGCCAGCTCAGGTCCCTCTGCCCTGGTCTGTCTTGGGGAAATGTCCCAGTGCCCTCAATCTGGACTTCAGCAGGGTACCGCTTCACAAAGAGGCATCCCCCTGTGCAGCGGCCATACTGCTGCAGGACAAGGAGGCCAACACCACCTTGCAGAGCCCAGGGCTCATGGGAGGTGATGGGGATGACCTCAGCTCCTGGGGGGACCATCCCTGTCAAATGTCTTGTGTTGTCCAGGTGTCAGTGAGAACCTTGGGAACATAATTCATGACCAACTCAAGAGCACAGTGTACCGGGTGCTAGCCTCAGTGCACAGCCTGGGCCAGGGTGAGTTGGACCAGTGCCCTGTATGTGGGTGGATCCAGCAAGTGTCCTCCAGGAGCCAGTTCTCCCTTCCCCCACCCCTGGATTTCATGTACTGCCCCAGCTCCACCCAAGGCTTTCTTCCCATTATGCTGGGATCCTGTATGTGACATCCCTGCCTATTTCCTGGCCTCATGTGCCCAGCAGCAATTTCCATTATGGTTATAGATAGTTTATGCCCCTCTGGCCAAGAGGAGGGGATATGGTGTCTCTTTTTGCCAAGGTGCTGAGGATACCAGGAAATGAGGAAGGAGACCCTCAGGTCATGTGTTGACTTTCTTAGCCCTGCAGGTTTCCATAGACCACCTTCGAACCCTGAACACCACCTCAGTGGAGCTGCAGGAGCGTCAGCAGTACCTGGAAGCACCTGTGCAGGCACACCGGGACCGCCTGCTCACCCTGCTTCAGGACAGCTGGTGCCACGGGAACTGCGAGGGGGCCCTGAGCCAGGCCAGTGCTCTGCAACTGGGTGCTGACTTCAGCCAGGTGCAGGCACTCAACAAGCCCGGTGGGACTTGGAAGGGCTGGTCTAGCCTGCACCTTTGGAATCCTCTGGCATCTTAGTAGTCTGGTGGCTTTCAGGGGGCCTGCTTTTCAGAGAACACCTTCCTTGGGCCGTGCCTTCCTCTCCAGAGCACACAGGGTTTATGACCCTTCGTTCTTAGAGTGAGCCACAGTTCTCCAAGAGCCACACACTTAGCCCCTCCAGACACCCAGCTTCATGTATATTGGCATCTTAGGCTCTCAATGCCTCCCATGGTGATGGGGGCTCTGTGGTCCCCATTTTACATATGAAGATAGGAAGGGATCAGAGACACCTCCTCCTTCCTATAGGGATCCTTCTCATGTCATAGACACCCTCCATTTCAGGTGCCCCCTATGGACAATGTCCTGCATCGGCTGAAGGGTGTCCCAGAGGCCAACTTCTCCAGCATAGTGGAGGAGGTAAGCCCTACCTTGGTTCTCTTGTCTTTTGCTCCACCTGCCTGGGAACTAACAAGGGAAGGGCTTCAGTTTCACTCTCTGGAACAAGAACCTGGTTAAGCCAGGTGATAGTGGTGCACGCCTTTAATCCCAGCACTCAGGAGGTAGAGGCAAGTGGATCTGAGTTCGAGACCAGCCTGGTCTACAGAGTGAGCTCCAGGACAGCCAGAACTGCGCAGAGAAATCATGTCTTGAAAAACAGAGAGAGAGAGAGAGAAACCCAGTTAAATCCAGGACTTGAGTCCACCCTCACCCTGTGGCAGCCTGGGCTAGAGGCTCAATGTGCCAGTCCCTACTGCAGTCAGATGGGAGAGGCAGGTCTGCAGCTCAGAAAAAGGAGTTGGGCTCCCATAAGGGATGCGGTTGTCAGGCCACAAGGGAGCAGGTGCTTTGGCTGCACCCTGAAAGGCAGGCCTGCTCTCTGGGTGGAGACAGCCAAGGCGGGGGTGGTACCTTGTGAGTCAGAGTCTGTGACCCAAGGCCTGGAGTTGGGAATCAGTGAGTCAGCTATGTTGGGAGGCTGGGAAGAAGCAGCCAGAACGGAAGTAGATGGAAGGTTGGAGCTGGACTGACAACAGAGTAGAGCCGGTTGTTAGGATGGGATGGGTGGGGACAGGTGAGAGAGGATGAAAGCCATCCATGTCTAGGAAGTGACTGTGAGGAGAAGGGGGTGTAGGAGCTTGTAAGGTGCCATGTGTAGAAGAGTTGAGACAGGCAGGAGAAGCTATGTTTGCAAGGAGAAGATTACTTCCTTTGTTGGGAGCATTGGATAGCGGCACCCTCCCTCTGGGCCTCTGACTTTGAGACTCCAAGATGGAATTCCAGGCAGAGAGCAATAGACACAGCTTTGCTCGGATCTGCAGGAGAACGCCACCTTCAATAGTCTCCCGCTCCTGATTGCAGTGCAGATGGACAGTGTGATCAAAGGTGAGGCCCTGCTCAGGGGCCTGGCTGGCTCCTGGCATACCACCCCCACCATACCCTTTCCAGGGAGGGTTGCTGAGAGAGGAGCTCGACAGTGGTGGGGATGGCTGTCTTCCTGTCCGGTGGGCTCTCTATGAGTCCCAGAGGTTTGGCCCTGGCCCCTGGGTGTCCTTTGTATCCCCTGAGACCCTGTAGCTTTGGGCAGATCTGAAAAAGGTACTGGCTGAGCAGCCCGAAGGTGTGAAGATACTGGCCCAAGAGTTCCCAGGTTCCGAGGCAGCTTCCCGCTGGAGGCAGGCACTGGAGGGGCTGGAACAGCGCAGCCGCCCCTACTTACAGGAGGTGCAACGATATGAGACATACAGGTGAGTGGCGCTTCAAGCCTCCATCCTATCCCTGTCCGCTTCCAGCCTGACAAGACCGCTGTCTTCTTTAAAGCCAAAAACCCTAACTCCTATGACTTTCATGTCCCACTTGGCTGTGTACCCCCAAACCTGAGCCTGGGGACCCTGTAAAAGCTATGAGACTTCAGGAAATGTTTGCACTCTTACTTCTAAAGACCCAGCCTGGAGCCTAGAAGTCTAGGTCCCGGGCCAGCCCTCTGGTGCCAGCTGCCTTCCTTCTCAGTGAGCCCCATACTCTCTGTGGCAGGTGGATTTTGGGGTGTGTGCTGTGCTCCGCCATCCTGCTTGTGGCGATCTGTAACCTGCTGGGCCTCAGCCTAGGCATCTGGGGGTTGTCTGCCAGGGAGGACCCCAGCCACTCAGAAACCAAAGGCGAGACTGGAGCCCGCTTTCTCATGGCGTAAGAAGGGGCCAGGGATGGGAAGGGACCCTCACTGCTGGGTTGCCAGATTCCTTCTGGTGTGGCAACACCAGAGTCTGGCAAGTCAGCAGAATGAGCCTTGGTGCTGACCTGGTCTCCACTCCTTGGGTGACTCTGAGTAAAGCAATGAGTTCTCTGGGCCCTAGTGTTCTTCTCTATCTAAGGGGGTCGGGCTGATGCTGGGACAGCAACAGCAGTAGTAACTATAGTACACCCACCAAGGCCAGACACAGCTCCAGAATTCTTAGCTGTGCTTCCAGGCAGTCCCAAAGTCATCATCAGGAGGCAGCAACAAAGGCAGAATCTGCTTGCCATCCTTGAACTAGATGGCCGTTAAGGCCAAGGCTGCCACATAACAGCTGGCCAGGCTGTTCAATACACAAGGTGCCCAATCAGAGGGATTAGTGAGGATCTGAAATCCACTCCACACTTTACTCTCCAAGCCTCATGGCCTGGCATGGGACTGTGCCCACTCACACAGAAGCTCTGTCAGTCAGCGGCCTTGGTGAAAGGGCCCTTACTGCTCAGTCTCTTTGAAGTGTTATCTATGTAGATGTGTCAGGTCTCACTATGCCAATGACTACTCAGGAAGTTTGAGCCTTGGAGTGGGTCACTTCCATGGACCATAAGCCCAGAAATGGCTCTGTGAATAAGCAGGTGTCCTTCCTCTAGGCTTGCAGGGCAGCAGGGCCCAGCAATTGGATAGGGGTGGGGTGAGTATGCCAAGGAGCTGCCAGGAGTGCTGGATTAGCCTTTGCCCAGGAGGCATGCCTTGTTGCCAACCCATGGCCTATGCTGGACCCAGGGTGTGGGTGGGGACAAGCTGGTCCAGGGCAGTCAGCTTCCACAACCATGTCTCTCACTTCCAGAGGTGTGGCCTTCAGCTTCCTCTTTGCAGCCCCCCTCATCCTCCTTGTCTTCACCACTTTCCTGGTGGGTGGCAATGTGCAGACGCTGGTGTGCCGGAGCTGGGAGAGTGGAGAGTTGTATGAGGTGGGCCTGGGCCTGCTCCAGCTCAGGGAGCTGAAGGGAGCCAAAAAATTGAGTCAGGAGGAAGTGGGAGCCAGAGTTGCAAGCAGGAGATAGGGACAGGAGGAAGGAGGAGGAGATGCAAGGGAGAGAAGGGGCAGATAGAGAGACACCCGTGGGTCCCGAGCCCCTGAGGTGCCCCCCCAGGTCCCAAGAAGGACTCCAGACATTGGCACACACCTCTCTAACTCTGAGTCTGGGAAGGTCACTCTGCTGAGGTCCTGCTTGCATCACTGCCAGAGACTCATGGGCAAAGTCCCCACGAGGAATCGGGGCCTGGGGTGATTAGAGAGAGTAACTTTTGGGGGTGGCACCAAGCGTTAGGCCAGCTTCCCTCCTCACCTGTCTGTGCCCCATCTCTTCCTGCCACATGCAGTTTGCAGACACCCCGGGAAACTTGCCCCCATCTATGAACCTGTCCTACCTTCTTGGCCTAAGAAAGAACATCAGTGTCCTCCAGGCCTATCGGTGAGCAGGAGGCCTGGGAGTGGGCCTGGAGTGGGGAAATCGCAGGGAGGTGCAGAAGTGGGCATCCCCTTGGAGTGCTGCCAGCCCCGCCTGCCACCCCTGGTGACTCTTTGTATCTTTCTTCCCCAGACAGTGTAAGGCAGGGGCAGCACTCTGGAAGGTTCTACAGCTCAATGACTCTTATGACCTGGATAAGCACCTGGATATCAAACAGGTAAGAGAATGTTCTAGAAGGCTGTTAACACGTACACACACACACACACACACACACACACACACACACTGTGCACCCGTCACCAAGTGTGCACAGCTCTTTCTTCTGTTCTTCTGAGGCATTATCTCTAAACTCAAAAAAAAAAAAAAAAAAAAAAAAAAAAAAAAAAATTTCTTATCAAGGCACCCCAACACCCCAAAGCAGAGGTCTTAGCAACCAACTCAGGGCCTGTCCAGGGCTTGAGCAATGGAGGATTCCAGGGCCATGAGTGGGTGTGTGAGTAACTGGCTGCCATGAGCATGTGCTCCAGGGAAAGCTTCACACAGCCCAGGCTATAGGAAGAGAGGACAGGAACAGTAAGAGTGGGGTGTGTGTGTCCTGCAGGACAGGTACTGGGTGGCATGTTCTAGCTGGAAGTGGGAAGAAAGTGCTCCTGAGCCAGTTCAGTGACGCTACTAGGAGGCTCTCTGGGGCCTGCTGTACCTCAGAGCCAGCTGTTGGCCAGCAGCTTCTACCCCCGCCCCCAGCCTGACTCCAGAGTTTTAGGCTGTCTGTCCTCCCAGGACTCAGGTGGCCCATTTGCCAGAGGTGGTTCAGGGGGTTAAAATGGTCCCGGGTGCAGGAGTGAGTGGCAAGGCAGAGCGGAAGTGATGGAAAGAATGGGCACTTGTCGACACTGACCGCAGAAGCAGGGAAGATGGAGCATTTTAGAATATGGTTCTAAAGATCTGTGAAGCAGGCCCCCTTTCCTGTCTCCATCCCTAGTCAGGGGGTGGCAACAGTCAAACAAGACCAGTCCTGATTCCACGCCTTAAGCCATGGCCAGGGATGTTTGCTTAGTCAGTACCTTTTTCCTCCAGTGTCTTTAGCCAGAGACAGTGGCCCCCTGGCTGGAGGCTCTGCAGCCTCTGGAAGTCATCTCAGCCTTAGGTGATCTCAGCCCCAGAAAGGAGGTGTCAATCTTATAGAAAAGTATGGACCAATGAGGCTTTTGGTTCTGAGGGATCAGGTTGCGTGGTGACTTTGGAAAAACTTCTCAGAAGACACACCAAAAATCCAATTATGCATAGATCAGAAAGATAAAATGTGCCACCCAGGGTACCAGACTGTCTGCCGCTTCATGTCCCATCCCTGTCAGTGGTGCTGGGAATGCTGCTACTAAGAGAGTTGGGGACCCCTCCCCCTGGAGGAGATTGCCTAGTAGGGTGGGGATGGGTGACCAGAGATGGGCTGCCTTCTCAGATGTTGAAGCTGGATGTCATGTCCACAAGATAGGCAGATGCCAGATGTCTTTCCTGGAAATGTGGATGTGTCATTCACTCTTCATCCATTTATTCATCCATCCATCCATTCACTCACTCTCAAATCTACACGCTGGATCTCACCTACCACTTGGCAGACTGTTCCAGATAAGGGGCCTTACATACATACAGTAAAAGAGTCAAAGTCCCCGGCACTATTGAGCTGATGTATTTAACAAGCCCAGGAATAGTGATTTTAGAGGAGGCTCTGTGAAGACCTTAATACAGAGGAAGTGGTAAAGACCTGGAAAGCTGGTGGCCATAGAAAGTCTGTGACACAGCCCAATAGTCACATGGTCCCTACTGAGTAGAGAGGTCTCTTGGATGCCTGTGAGGGTATGTCTACCTGGAGAACCAGGTGATGGCCCTTGAGCCAAGCGACCAGGCTCAATAATTGTCCTCATCCTGTCCTCTCCTCCAGTATACCCACAAGTTCCAGCAGAAGCTGCAGAACCTCAAAGTGGATGTGAAGGATCTAGATCTGTTGAGTCCCGCTGCTCGCCGGGACCTGGAGGCTTTGCAAGGTAGCGGGTTGGAGAAAATCCGATATGGAGACTTCCTTGTACAGGTCAGTGAGATGTGGCACTGAACAGAAGGGCCAGTGGTGTGCGTGTGTGCGTGCGTGCGTGTATGTGTGTGTGCATGCACGCGCGCTCATTGCCTCTTTCCAGCGTTCCACAGTCTTAGCATTCCTGGGACTTCTTCCTGTTAAGGAACTAGTACAATTCCCCACTTCCCTTAAGGGCATGTGTCGCTGTTCATGGTCCTGAACCCACTCTGCTAAGAATGGTGGTGTGACACTGAGTTTCTTATCTTCACATGTATGGGTGTTTTGCCTGCATATGTGTCTTTGTACCACATGCAGTGCCTGTGGAGGCCAGAAGAGGGCAGCCAATATCATGGGGCTAGAGTTTTAGATGGTTGTGAGCCACCAAGTAAGTGCTGGAAATCCCCCGCCCCAGGTCCTCTGAAGGAGCAACCAGTGCTTTTAACAGCTGAGCTATCTCTACAGCTGGACACTGACTTTTCTTCAAGTCACTCTAGCTGGAATCTTGGGGTTTTTTTATCTGGAAGTTCTGAAATATTTCACAGCTTTAGTTCAAACTCACTATGACTCACACATCACAGTAACTTAGCTGGGGCTGGGAATGTCTTGGTTGGTAGAGTGCTTGCCTAGCATGCACAACGCCCTGAGTTCAATCCCCAGTGCTACATAAAGCCTGATGCACTAAGACATGCCTGAACCCCAGCACTTGAGAGGTAGGAGGAGGATGTGGAGACCCTCTCTGAGATTACAGATAGAGATGGGGGCAGGGTGGAAATGAACGGGCTTGTAGGTGCAGGGCACATTTGACAAGTCTGGGGATTCAGAGGCTCAGGGTGTCTGGGGACATCTGGGTTCAGCCTTTTTGGTGTCTCCTGTCTTCCTCCAGATCCAGAAGCCTGTGGTGAGGACTGACATGGAGCTGCTGGCACGGGAGCTGGAAGAACTGGCCCGGGCTCAAGTGAGAAGGGAGCAGAGACCCTCTAGCCATTCAGCCATCAAGAAGGAGATCTGGGCAGGAGGGACTATGGGTGCTGGGATTGGAGAGAGGGCAGGGACAGATGCCGGAGACTGAGGGCCCCACCCATGGGTGCTCAGGCTTTTTACCCTGCTATTGAGGGGTCTGCAGCTTCAGTTCTCATTCAGGCACTGCTGTCGTGTGGCCTTGGGCAAGTCATTTCCCATCTCTGGGCCTCCGTCTTTCCATCTCCAGACTGTCCCAGGCTCCAATCCGATGAAGTCTCTGATCTAACTTTACACAGCAGGGCCAGCTTCCCACTGCCAGGACAGTTGCAGTCCGCACAGGAAGCCACCTTGACCCTGGGTGGAACAGAGAGCATTGCTATGTTTGCAGTGGTTGCTACAGCTTACTTGGTGCTGTGGCTCATTTAGTAGCATCCGGCTCGGGGCAGACGAGAACAGGGAAAATCTGGGCTTGAGGATTTTCTCTCTGAGCCCAGCACTTGTCAGCTCCCTTGGAGGGCTACTCTTCCTGTTGGGATAGGAACCATTCTAACCCTTTTGTCTGCCCTCAGAACAACTCTGTACTGAGGCAGCAACTACAGGAGGAGGCCATAGAGCTCCGAAGCCTCTACCAGGAGAAGGTTGTCCCCCAGCAGAGTCTTGTGGTAAGGTTGGAGGGAGTCTGGGGCCTGAAGGAGAGGAGGGATGGAGAGAAGGCAGTGAAAGGAAGGAGGGGCTGCCCACATTCGCCTCCGAATCCTTGCCTATAATAACCCTGGTTCCTCTTCTACAGGCCAAGCTCAGCCTCAGTGTCAGGGCCCTGGAGTCCTCTGCCCCAAAACTGCAGGTGGCTGATGGGAGTGGGAGGACGGGTCAGAACAGGTGGGCAATAGAGGAAAGCAGGAAGTCTGCTCTGAGATCTCTGTCTGTCTTGTCCCCTTGGAAGGTGAAGGGGGAGGGTAAAGGGGCCAGATCATTGAAGGCCTGTTTTTTGTTTTCTCCCCCCACCTGCCCTTTATCCGTTAAGGTGATGTGTGGTATATTGTAGGATGGATGGATGGATTGGTGGGTGAGTGGACAGACGGATAGCTGATTTGGGCGATTGTCTCCTGCAGGAGGATACCTCCGATGTTCTTGGTAATGTCACTCATCTAAAAGGAGAGCTGCCTGCCCAGACCAGCTACATCATGAGGAATGTGAGTTGGGGGCATGGTGCTGCCTTGAGCCAAGCATGAAGTATCCACCACAGGCTTCCCCTCCCGCTCATCTCTCACTGCAGCTCCCATGAGCTGGTTCATCCTGGTGATGTCAGATATGGAAGGGTATGAGGGAGCCAGACCCCTGCCAACCCTGGGCTTCTCTGTTTCCTGTAGGCCTCTGAGTGTTTCCTGATCAGGGAAATTGGCTACTTCTCTCAGTATGTGGCCTGGGTGAGAGAAGAGGTGAGTGAGGATTCAGAACCCCACCTGGCTTCCAAGTGTACCCGTCCCAGTGGACAGCTGTGCAGCCCTTTGGGGGTGCTCTAGGCCTTTGGGATTGGACTCAAACTCCCAAATCTGCCATCTACACTTGTTGCTCTCAAAATGGATTCTGCCCACCCCACCTCTACCCCAAACCCATTTGTGAGGCCCAGGTATGGGCTAGGGTGGACATAGCTTTCTAGAACATTCCATCTGCCCCATGCCTCTCCATGGATAGGCCCTCACCCTGCTTGTCTAAGGCCAGCCATCAAAGTCCACCTCCTCTTGCACATCCCATGGGCCATCGCTTCTGGGAATGGTCTGGGCTTCACAGGGGTTTGGCTTGCCTGTGAATGTCTGTGTTCATATGTGTACGTGCATTTGAAGGCAGGCATGTGTGTGAGCACACATTGCCTCTCTGGTAACAATGACTTAAAACCATAATGAGGGACATAGTGAGACTTGCATATGGACTGGTGAGTAGAGGAAAGGGTTGAAGCTTAGCTGAGCAGGAAGTTCAGTGTCCTTCTTGTGGACCTATGACCATTACGTTTGTGCATGTATCTGCCACTCTTTGTTCAAGTGTGAGGTGGACCCCAGCTGCCTCTGAGCTTCCCTGTGTTCCTCTTAGCCTTATCATCAGAATATGGGGTACACATCTGTGGGTCCAAGATGTCTCCACATACTCCTATCTCATGTTGGCACCACAGGTGACTCAGCACATCGCCACCTGCCAGCCCCTCTCTGCGGCCCTGGACAATGGCCATGTGATCCTATGTGACATGATGGCTGACCCCTGGGTGAGTGTCCCCAGCCTATCATGGATATAGAGCCCAATAGACAGGGACAATAGGAGGGCATGAGCCAGGAGTGTGGAGTCAGTGCAGATCCTCTGGGCACAGGGCTGGTGGGAAGGCACCTCTGCCCAGCCTGGTGAGCTGACCTCATGGCTCCCACCCCAGAATGCCTTCTGGTTCTGCTTGGGGTGGTGCGCCTTCTTCCTCATCCCCAGCATCATCTTCGCAGTCAAGACCTCCAAATACTTCCGTCCCATCCGGAAACGCCTCAGGTAAGGGGCTGCCAGAACCACAGTGGGCATCAGATGTCCAGGAATTCTTTTAGCCTTTGGGCCACACCCTGCCTGGAACCTTCCCTGGTAGAGAGAGCTTCTGGCCCAGCTCTGAGGAGTGTTGGGGCCTGAAAGTTCCCACATAGGCCTGCCACATCCTTCTAGCTGCACCCGACCCCCTGGGGGATAACTTCTTGGGACTTTGATCCTCTGAAGGGTTCCTGTGACAGGGACCTCAGGGCTCCAGTCGTCCCTGAGTCAGGGCTGAGGGATGTGCTGGAGACTCACTTTAGTTCTGTGATGTCACAGCTCCACCAGCTCTGAAGAGACACAGCTTTTCCACATCCCCAGGGTCACCTCCCTGAAGCTATAGGCCCCGCCCACTGGTGAGTTCTCCCCCCCCCCCACCTTCCATAACCCTTCAGCGCCTGTACTGAGGTGCTCAGATCTGGGGAGGGCAGGAAGGCATGGGGTCTGGGACAATGTGGATGGGACCCATGCCTTCCACCCACCAGCTTCACCTGTTCCCTTTTTAGCTTCTAACAGGGCAAGGCGATCCCTGGGGCTTCCTGTCCTCCTCCTTCCTTGCCTCAGCCTGGACCGGAAGACTTCTGCAGTCCCTCTCCCAGAGCCCAGGCGGGCCTCCAGTGCTGGCTGTCCCCTCCCCGTCTCCAGCTTACTGGTCCCGTCTTTGCACTTTTTTCCTATGACCCAAATCATATCCAGCTTTTACTGAACTACAGAGAGCCAGCAGGTTCTTCTGGGTAGCTAGCCCTTGTCCCCCTTGCTGTGGTATCCCAGCTCCTTTCCCAGCCTTTAGGTGGGAACAGGCCCCTCCATTTACTTCCATTTACACTTTCTTCTCACTTCCTGTCCAAGCTCCTTTCCCCTTGTCTGAGTTTGATTCCCCCACCAGCCCCATCCCTGTTCCCTCCCCTGCCCACTGCTGTCCTGCTTCACCCCCTCTTTGCCTGTCCTCACTGCCCCCTTGCTGGCTCCAAGGCCCTGCTTCCTGTCCACCTAGCCAAGCAGGCAGCAGATGTCATGGTTGAGGTCATGACCCCTGAGCCTTGTGCAAGCTCTAACCTGGATCTCCTGTGCACAGTGGGGGTAAAACAGGCCTGTTTGAGGACTGAGCGGTCCTGTCTGCACCCCAGGTTAGAAATAGCCGTGCTGGCCCATCTTCTCTCTGAGCACTGGCTCCTAAGAGAGAACCAGGGATGTGGGCCACACTGGGGCTCCCCATTTGCCTCACAGACAGTAGCATGGGTGGTCCCCACTGCCCTTCCAAAGAAGGTTCTGGTGGTGAGAACAGGGTTTTACACTCCTCTCTCTCTGTAGTCCTGCACAAACGGCCTGGGATCACCCCTCACTTGTCTCTGCCTGGTCCTTATGTGCTGGACACTGGGTCCAGAAAGGACAAAGAAAAGAGAGACAGTATGGACGAGTCTCTGTTCCATTAACATGTGACTTCCGTGAGCTTTGGCTTTGGGTCCCCGAGGCTGGGTCCCTAAGGCTAAGGTTCAGTGTACAGTTGTATGTAATGAGCATCTGTGGGAAGAATCCCAAGGCCTCTCTATAGTCATCCTGGGCCTGTGCAGCAGCAATTCAATATGGGGAGCAGAGCCTGTCTACTCATGTGATTCACAGCCTGGTTCTGATGCTGCTAGCTGGGGCACCTCAAACATGTGATATAGGTCCCCCAAGCCTCAATTTCTTCTTTTGACAAAATGGAGAGGCTCCTCGGAGCCTGTATGCAGAGTTGTGAAAGTCACACTTGATGGGTGGAAACCCTTGACAGGGCTTGGTACCGAGCAAGTGCTGCTCAGGAGTTGAGAGCTAGGCTGAGGGCAGAAGCCAGGGCCTGGGCATAAAGGGGATAACCTTTACAATAGTGGTCTGCTGTGTTTCTGGGCATGTTAATGTGGGAATGCATCTTATGAGCCAGCAGCAATTTTGCTGCCAGGATTTAGGATGGTGGTACCCAGTGTGCTAAGACTCCAGCAAGCATACTCTCAAACAAGATTTTTTTGTTTGGTTGGCTCTTCCCTTCCTTCCTTCCTTCCTTCCTTCCTTCCTTCCTTCCTTTCTTTCTTTCTTTCTCCCTTTCTTCCTTTTTTGGCTTTTCCCAGAGGTTGGAAGCTTTTGTTTTGTTGTTTGTTTGTTTATTTGTTTTGGTTGTTACTTAGGGGTGAGGAAGTGACACCCTGTATTTTTTAGATCTAATTGATGGGTTTTAAACAAATGAAATAAAAGCAATTAAAAATCATTTACAGTCTGTCTAGAGTTTGCTTGTGTGATCTATGACACCTAAGCACATTAAGCAAAGTTATTTTAAACTGAGTCTTTAGTGAGATGGGAGCCCCTGGGGAGCTCTGTGTTGTGTTCCTTGTTTTCATTAGTTTTCTTGCCTCTTTTATATGGTAAGGTTGGTTGAATGCTGGCACTCGTATCTTAAAATCTATCAGGATAATTGGAGACCTTAGGCATGAGGATGTTGTGTGCATCTAGCAGTGGCTGAGTACCCAACAAACAGGGTCACCTTAATCCATTGGCAGGGCCCAAAACTCAAAGTTCCCTGGAGAGTGGGTCTGTGCCAACTCTTCACCCTTCCCCACAGCATGGAAGATTTGGCAGGCCCCCTCTTTTGATGGGCATGGAAGATTTGCCAGGCACCCTATTCTTGATGGGCATGGCTTTTAACCCACCTTTCCCACCATGCCTGGTTTTATGTGATGCTAGGATTCAAACCCAGGACTTCATGCGCTTTTAAGCAACCATGCTATCAAATGAGCTACATCTCCATTCCAACTCTATGGTTCTTTACAGACCCATGTGCTCTCGGTAGCTTAAAATTCATATCATTTCAAATGCTCTAGAAGTACATACATCACCCATTCTCTTTTACAAGTGGTGTCTAACTGGGAATTATTCCTTGAGTTTAGTACCCAGAAACCTCATCACGGCCTCTTGGACACTGTCTGGAAAAGTAGTCCAGAGGCTATTGCTGTAAGCAGTGGTCACCAAGAGATAGGCGTGCTGGCAGTTAAAAAACAGAAATAGCTGCAGAGAACGGCAGATGCCCGTTTTCCTGGTTTAAAATGCTGGGTTGTACATGGTTGGAGCTGCTCCATATAGAAGCTGAAGCCCCAACCCCCACACACAGCAGCAGTTATCTGTCATTACCAGGGTCTCTGAGGAGGAGGTCAAGCTGTTATTATATGTGGTTGAACCTGATGAAGCCCCAGGAAATTATCTGGCAGCTTCAAGGTCATCTAAGTTAGATTTGGGTCCCCTGGTCCTGACCCTAGACATGTCCTACTGGATTCTCTGCAGGTCTCCATTTCCTGTGGGAACATGGGAGGGAGGCCCTGTCTCCTGGGAGGCTTGTCCTTGATGTCTCTGTGGCAGGAGGGATGACAGATTGGGGGCCCTGAGAGCTCCGATAGATCTCCACCTGGATACTCAGCACAGGGCCCTGTGGCAGATTCTGCCAAAGAAGCACCATGTGTGTTAGGGCATCTGAGGTCCTAGGTGAACAGCTCTGGGCAATGCAGGGGGTAGAGAACAAGGGCCACGTGGCTGGGTCTAGAACAGAGTGAACATTTATTCACTGAGCTAGGTACTGTATATCAGCCAAGACAGGCATACATTCAGCTACTTGCTTTAGAAAAGGGAGGAGTAGAGATTGGGTGTGGGCAAGATCCACCCAGAGGAATCTCCGAGGCTGGCGGCATTCCAGTACCCATCGGAATTTCCTGGGTCCAAACTGAGGTCCTGTTGAGGGTTGATCATGGACAATGTCCCTCCTCCCGTCGTCCAAGGGCCAAAACCAGTTCCTTACCTCTTCCGGCCATGTACTTAGCAAGAAGGCTGGCAGCCAGCCTGGTGGAACAAAGCCTTTTCTCCTGGCAACTAGTCCTTCCCTGAGCATCTTAGATCTGCCATGTGGAGCACTTCACACCTTTCCATCTTACAGACAGTAATAAAGCCATAGACCTGGGTGAAGACAGAGATGACAGGGAGGCCTATCCTGCCCAGTCCTGGCTGCTGCCCATGGGTGATGGGGAATGCAGGGTTGAGGCAGCCAAGCTCTTGTCTGCATTAAGGGTACCAAGGAGTGGCCAATGGAGACTTGAGGGCGGTAAGCTAAGCCCAAGGGTGAGGTGAGATGCCCTCCCTTCACTAGAGCCAGAAGGAAGAGGCATCAAAAAGCGCAAGAGGGTCAGCAGAGGATGGCTCACTGGATACGGGGACTTGTTCCATGCCTGATGACTTGAATTTGATTGGAGACTTGTGTCCTTTGAGCACCACATGTGTGCTGTGTCCCAGGGCCCCTTCCTGACCACCCTCAGAGCAAATGGGGTTCATGGATGGGTTCCTGCAGTTTGGAAAATGTAGGGAACAGATACTTCCTCCTCCCTCTACAGGGTCACTGTTAGCTGTGTAAATGGCAAAGCTAAGGGTCCCTGGTCCAAATGAAGGTTCCTGTGAGAGTCAGCATGGGATAGCATTGGTTGGCCTGTTCCAGGCCTGGTGAAGGAACAGACTTCGTTCAGTCAAGAGCAGGTACGTCTGCCCTGGCTGTTGGAAGTCCTTGTTAACCGTGATCCCCCAGCCATGTAACAGCCATGTGGGAGATGTGATGTGGCCAGAAGGAAGGTCGCCAGCAATGGCTGGGAGTGCTGGTTCTTTTTTTTTTTTTTTTTTTTTTTTTTTGTCGATTTGATGTGAGTTAAAAGTTACCTGGAAAGATGGGCCAGCAATCACAAATAAATAAATAAATAAATAAATAAATAAATAAATAAATAAAAATGCCTTTATCAGACTGGGCTGTAGGCAAGCCTGAAGAACATTTTCTTGATTAATGATTGATGTGGGAGGGCCCAGAACACTGGGAGCCGTGCCAGCCCTGGGCTGGTGGGTGTGGGCTGCATAAGAAAGCAGGCTGAGCAAGCCAGTAAGCAGTGTTAGTCAGTAACCTCTGCTTCTGTTCCTTCCCTGACTTCTCTTCCAGATGGATTGTAGCTGAAATAAACCCATTCCTCCAAGTTGCCTGTGGTCATGGTATTCATATAGCAACAGAAAGCAAACTAGAACCTAGGCCACTAGGCCCTGAGGACCCTTGGAGCTGCCCACAGACTGAGGGTGAGCTGGCCCAGGAAGAAGCTTAGCTGGAGGCTACCCACCTGCCTCCCCGGGAGCAGGCCTCCTGCCTTCTGAAGCCCAGGCTGGCCCCAGTGGCTGCCACTTCTGGGCAGGTGTGCTGATGTGAGTGAGACAAAGGAGAACTGTGTGGCCTGAAGTGACCAATAGCCGCGTCTGTTCCCCTCCCAAGAAGTGTCTTGGGCCTGTCAGATTTCCGTGTGGCTTGTGGCAAAGGAGATTTCAAGGGTCTGAGGAAGACAAAAGTGACTCCAGGTGTTTGCAGTCCAGGCTGTGTCCACTTCTGAGATTTGCAGCATCTGAGGAAACCTTTTTGTTTTTTAGGGCAACAGACACTCTTGTGAGATTAGACCACCTCCACACAGTGGAGGCCCTCTTACAGGTAAGAGCTGTGGAGTGTGACTCCTGAGAGATGTCCCTTCCCGCTTCCTGGCAAGGCCCAGACAAGGCCTGAGGGAAAGATGTGAAGCTAGAGGCTCCTCAGCTAAGTCTGGAGGGGCCAGGGGAGGAAAGAATTAAACTTGAGCCTGGTATGAAGAGGTCATGAGCAAAAACTAAGGATGGTTTGAAAGACTCCCACCAAGGTTCTTGGTTGTGGTTGTGTGAATTTCTCTCTTGAGCAGGAAGAAAGGGCTGCAGTCAGCTGAAATGGCCCACAGCTGTATCTTCAAGTGTTTTAGAACAAGGAAAAAAAAAAAAAAAAAAAAAAGTCTCCTGAAAGGTGGCATCATCCCTCCCCCTTCCTCTTGCAAACTGCATCCCACCATACCTCCAAGTCCACCCAAGGAAGCCATGGCTAAAACCCACCAGCCCAAGTATTGCCAAACCACAGTGGGCCTCCTTCGGCATCCTAAACGTATTTCGGGTCCAACAGGCCTCCAAAGAATCTTTCTCTCAGGGGAAGTCAGCCCGGACCCACCAGGCAGAGCAAGGCTGAGGTCCACTTGAGGAGCCCTGCTTTGGCTCTTTTTCATTCCTCTATCTTCCAGGGACCTTGGAAGGACCCTGGAAGTGTCTGGGGTGTTGAGTAAGTCCCTGAAAGAACCAAAGGAAGAAAGAGGGTCAGGTGACTGGAGGCTCCTGGCAGGGCACAGATGCCTCATGCCTGTTTTATGAGGGGCAACCTGCTGGTAGTGGCTGTAGGAGGAGGTTGCTGGCTCCCTGGTAAGCCCAGGAGGGGAGGCCTCCTTCTAGGCTTGCCCTGCCTCAGCCTGTTACTCCCAAGGAATGCATCTCAGAAGAGAGGAATTTAGGCAAGGGCACTAAGCAGAAAGAGGTGCTGAAAGGGGTGGGCTGCTGGGAAGACTCTGCCTCCTCAGACAGTGCCATGAGCAAGGCCAGGCTGTGTGACAGGCAGTGTCCAAGTTGATCCCTGCATCTTGGACATATATAACTAACTGGTGGGTAGAAAACCCCTCCAGAGCTGGCCGAGTGAAAAGAACTGCCTGGGTAGTAGCTGGTTTGTCTTTTCTGAGTTTCACCATCATTAGCATAGACTAGGATAATGACCCTTCTCTCAAAGGCCTCAAACCGCTCTTCCTTGTGGAAACTTGCCTAAAGCCAGGAAGGCAGCTGGGCAGACTGGCCCTGACCTGGGAGCCTCTGTAGTCCTTGCTGTCCTGTCTCAGAGTGCGCTCAGTCTGCTGAGTCCCTTGCCCAGATTGAAGTCCATGGGCAGATGACAGAGCTGTCACCTCCCCTCTGGGGATGGCCTTCCTGCCTCTGGGGATCAACAGCCTCAGGGGTTTTGCCCCTGAGGGTCTGGCAGCTGGAGCTAATTGGTTGACTCAATAAAAGGGGGGTGGGACAGAGTAGGGAGGGCAAGCAAGTGCTCCTGGGCTTTCTGGGAAGGAGGGGCTGGCTCGGGCTCTGTTTCCATGGGAACCACTGGCACAGGCAGGCTCCTTAGGACGCCAAAAAGGGAAACTTGGCGCAGGTTTCAGCACCTGGCTCCTGGTGGATTCCCTCAGAGATAAAAAATGCTCCAGAGCCCGTCTCCTATAGGGGAGGAAGGAGCCCTCCTGGGGATGCTCAGGACCCTTGAACTTTCTTCCAAACCCAGATCCCACTCCAAGAAATCTGGGGGAGAGCCTGTGGCTGTCCAGAGTCCCTGAATTTGGCCCCAGCCTCAGAACCAGAGGACAGTGAAACTGGGCAAGTGTGAAGTGCTTGGTCAAGCTAGGAAGGTTTCCGTACTGCAAGATCTATAGGGTTACAGAGGAGACTAAGGATGGGAGCGATGGATAAGAGGAGGAAGGACCCCAGGAGTCACTTTAGTGATGTAATCCCAAGGGCTCTTCTCTTTGTCCTGGGAAGGGACTGGGGATGAAGTGACCTCCCTGCTTTCCCTGTGACTTGGAAGCGTAGAGGCACACCATGTATTAAAGGGAGATGGAAGCCACGCACAGACACGGAGCATGAGACCGAAGCCTGAGAGACCAGGATTAGGAGCCCTGGAGAAAGAGAAACTGGGGGATGGAGGGAAAGGGGGAGGGAGGGAGGGAGGGAGGGAGGGGAGAGAAGAGGGAGGAGGGAAGAGGCAGAGGAGAGGTGGAGCTAAGACCCAGGAGGGAGGGAGGGTGGAAGGATTGGGCAGGGGGCGGGGGAGAAACCTCCAGTGACAATTGCGTCTGGGTCCAGGCAAACATGAGGCAGCTGCCAGCCCGACTAGGCAGTCTGGCTTGTTCGGGCTGCAAAGCGGGAAGGCTAGTGACAGTCCCCTTCAGCAGCCGAGATGCAGAGGGCCAAGGTAGGCGCTGAGGGACTCGGGGCTTGCCTGGGCTTGGGGGAATCTGGGGCTTGGGTGTTGCTCTTGACTAGGGAATGTCTTCATGGTGTTCCTGGTGCCTCTTTCCTTGACCCCTACTCCTGCTGCAATTGTTGGGGGCACCCTGGCTGGGAGGCCGGAATCTGTGGCTCTTTTGGATGCAAGAAGCTCTGGGTGATTTGGTCAGAAGAGAAGCTGGAGGTTAGCTCTGTGGTTGGTCCTGTTATGTTAGGTCCCTGGACAGGAGCCAGGGTAGCCTCCTAGTCCTTAGCTGGACACAGTGGCATGGAGAGGAGCCGTGTCTTGTGTGTGCAGGCTAGCCAATGAGCGCAGCTTTCAAGTAATCCTTCAGTTAATGAATGAAGACCCCCTTCTTCTTACAGCAGCATGAGACCCCTTACTAGGGCCACAAGCAGCTCTTCCTCCTTGGGGGCTGTTGGGAGATGGAGAGAGAGGAGGCAAAGAGGCGCCAGGCGCAGAGCAGAGTTTGCGAAATAGTTACGAGGTGAAGGGAAGGATGGAGCCAAGAAAAATCAGCTGTGTCCCAGCTTGGGGTTGACCCTTGGGGAGTCTGGCCTGGAGCCCAGCATGCTGTCCACAAGGATGGTCTTGCTTAGGAGGAGGAAGGAGCAGATCCAGGTCCAGCTGAACACCCCAAATAAGGAGTTCAAGGTCTTATAAGAAGAATAGACATTGGGCTGGCATCTGGCAGTTTCTCCTCCCAAGAGATGGCTTCCTGCCCCCCCCCCATCCCCCAGGAGGATAAACAGCCCAGAGAGGGAAGGGGACTGCTTTTAGACCATGCTGCCTCAGAGTCCAGGATAACATCCCTGTCCTGTCTGGTCCATTGCCTGGGATGCCCAGAATCAGCAGGCGGAACAGGTCTTTTGAGTACCAGAGCAGGTCATCTAGAAAGGTAAATTCTCTTGTCACCGTGTCCCTGGCAACCTCTGGACTGGCAGGGCAGAAGCATAACCAGCCCTCTCTCTGTCCCAGCCTCACACGCACACTCATATCACAAGCGCACTGCATTCAGCACAGACGGTGTGCATCCACAAACACTGGTGTGAGCATGGACCTCAGTCGTGTAAACACAGTCACATATACCCTGTGAATGCACCCCCCCCCTGCCGCCACCCCCGAGCCCGACAGTGTGACTCTGTGTGTCCACACATACAGGGATTTCTACATCCCTGTGTGCATAGGTACGCACACAGTTGGCTCTGTCTGCCAGCAGGGGAACAGCCCCTTTCCTTACCCCTCTCTGGTAGCTCTAATTCCCAGATGTCTCCCTGGGACCTTAACTACAACTAACCATACCAGATGGCAGAGTGAGTGGCTGGAGTCCCACATTCTCTTGGCCATTGTGACCTCTGCTGTGCCTACAGTTGGCTCCTGGGAACCCATGTGGCTCATCATCTTATGCCTGCTCCTGACTTCTATGTGTAGCCTGGTCCACAGGGATGATGGTGCTGGGTAAAGTACAGGGGGAGATTATTAGACAAGCGTCATCCCTAGTGGCAGAGGGCACAACAACCAGCATAGGCTGGGAGTTGGTTCCATTTGTAAAAGCCAATAGCTGCCCCCCCACCCAAGTTCTGCCCCTGCCTTCTCCCCATGAACCCCAGCCATTTCTTTATTGGCCCCCACTTGGCCCTGCAGAATGGGTGCTATATCTTCATTCTAACGCTACCAAACCTCAGAGAGAGTACTGACCACAGTGCCAAACCCGGTATCAGGAGGCATGCACCAGTAGCTTCCAGATCCTGAGGTGGCGAGGTGTCTTCATGGACCAGTTTGGCCCTGGGAGCCTCTCCAGTGCCTTGCAAGATGGGCCTCAGTTCATCCTGTTTGAAAAGGCAATGGCTGAGAACCCAGACAGGGCAGGGAAGGAAGTGGCCCCGAAGGGCTGCCCTTCTCTGTAAGCCATCGCCGTTGCCGTGCAGCCCAAGTAGTTCTTGGTACTGTTCTTCCCTACGGGTGAGGAGCAGAGGCGGGTCCAGACTGCAAGCAGTGGTGGGACTGGATTTGAACTCTGTCTTGTCCTCCACAGGACAGGCCCCAAGCACTGGGTGGGATGGGAGGTGAGGAGTGGCAGGAGCGGACTCCAGGGGAGAGGGGCATGCCTTTATCCAGGCAGCCAATGAGGGCTGACGCTAGAGTTTGTGACCTGTAAGTGGGGCTCTGCCCCGGTCAGGACCCCTGCCTGCATTAGCCCCCACTTCCCCTTTCAGGGCTGTGGTGGATCCAGATGTGTGAAGAAAGAACCCAAGCGTCCCCCACCCCTCTCTTTTCTGTCCCTTATGCCCAAACAGGCTTTGCTGTGTAGCAGAGGATGACCCTGGACTTCTGAGCCCCTGCCTCCACCTCCTGAGCAGTGGGATCACAGATGTGCGCTCAAACCCAGGGCTTCCTGCACACCAGGCAGAGCATTCTAGCAACTTAGTTAACCTCTGCCCAGTCCCCATTCCTTATCCTCGTCTCCCACAAAAGTGGAGGGCTGTTGGGTAACTCAGGCTGGTCTTGGGGGCACCCTCTGCTCCCTCAACTCCCTGGGCCTCAGCGGGATTCTCAGGAGCAGCTGCAGCCTCCCCTAGATGGCCTCTGTGAGGGCTTTCAAGGCAGAGGAGGAGGAGAGGAAGAGCTGCTGCGACCAGCCCTGCCCTGTGGGGAAGTGTGCACAGTGTGGGTGACGCACAGAGACCCCCCAGCTCCCGGCCCCAGCTGACTGATGTTGTCCCCCCCTTGAACAGGTGCATCTGTCAGCTGTGATCAGCCCACATCCTAGAACACCACAGAGCAGCCATGTGGCAGTGCCAGAGCTGGAGCTGACAAAGCAGGAGGACAGCCAAGAGTGGCCTGTGCCCCAGCTCTCCCACTCTGGCCTGGCCTGTCTCAGCCTCCATCCAGTGCCGCCCCCCCCCGCCCCTCTGTGCCCAGTTCTCATATCACCAATCTCCTAGCAGGATACAATCCTTTACTAACATGTTTAGCCTGGACCTTACCTATCTGGTTGCTGGAGTATAACCTAAGAAGGCATCCTGACAGACAGGGTTACCAGTGAGGAGCTTAAGTCAACATGAGTTCATGGAGTGTCTTCATTGTCAAGGGCAGGAGAGCCCTTGTCCTGGCAGAAGACACAAGACCAGGACAGCCCAGTTCTGTCCTCTGCTGCTGCAATACCCTGAGTCTAAGGCCCAGTGGCGTATACATATCACGTGTGCACCCGGGCTGGTATGTTTGTCCCAGGATATGTGAGCATGATCCCACCTACAGGGACATGGCACTGTCTCAGCTTCCCCTGCCAGGATGAACTACCTGGCTCACATCTGTCTGTGCCCAGGAGTGGGTGGAGAACTTAGGCTCCCAAAGCTTCCTGGTCCCTGGGGGCCTGCACGACACAACACCCACCATTGCTTTCTGCCATCTGTCCCATTCGATGGAAATAGAGCAAACAACTAGTGGGTGCTGGGTGAGCCAGCATGCATCTCGGCAGTCCCTATAAAAGGAGGGGTGCAAATTAACCCCACATCTGGCCTCAGGACAATCTTCATGGAGAAGAAGGGGACAGAGAACCTGGGGCACCCATCCCCTATCAAGACCCAGAATTTCTAGCTGCTGGGATAAGTACTCTGACCCTTAGTTGTCCTTCTAATTCTATAGAGTAGAGTGTTTTGAGTTTTGCTTGGTTTTTTTTTTTTAAATATAAATAAGCATGTAGGGGATGTGGTCCCAAGGCAGCAGACCCCTCCTCGCCAGGTTGGCATGGCCACTTAGATCTCTAGGCACAAACCAAGGCTTGGGCTAGTCAAGTACTTGGTCCAGAATTGTTCAATGGCTGACTGTTTATTGTCCTTTTCCCTCTGCACTCAGCTGCCTGAAATTACTCCAGCCTGTACCAGATCGCCTCCCTCCTCACCTGCCCAAAGCAAGGTGTGGTCTCTGCATCAGCATCCAGTATATCCTGGTCACTTTTAGAAAACTCACTCACTGCTGTCTCCATCCATGAAGCAGTGTGCTTGTTTTCTTTTGTGCTGTGTGTGTGTGTGTGTGTGTGTGTGTGTGTGTGTGTGTGTGTGTGTGTATCAATGCACTTTGCATGCACATTTATGCCTAAGATATACCTATGGAGAACTACTAGATATTTTCATAGAAATGAGTCAGAACTCTCTGCAGCCTTAGCCATGCAGCATTTGGCTAGCATATGCCCACTGGATGCCTCTACCAATCTTCCCCTGGGTTGCTATTTGGGGTTTTCTGGGGCCAGAGACTATACTAGCTGCCTAAGTTCTCACCTTTGGGCATCTTCTTGCTAGACAGGCCCTCACAGGAGAAGGTGTGTCCTGCAGGCCACGAGCAGTGTGGAGGACAACCGTCCCATGGAGGTCGTGGCTTTCAGAGAGCATGTGTTGGGGGAGACAGCATGTAGTAGGATGTTGGGGTCAAGGAACTGATGTGGTAAAAACCCTTTGGACAACAATATCTGGTGCCCAGATGGACCACCATGGGATTAGATGGAGGCATGAGGGGCATGCTGCTCCCTGTCTCCATGGGAACAGGTTTATGACCATTACACCTGCACCACTGCCCACACCTTAGCACGTCCTAAAACCTGGCATCCCACATACACATACACGAGTTTGCGGGTCAGAGGACAAGTTTTGAAGTCAGTTCTTTTCTTTACCAAGTCTCCAGAGCTGGCTCCAAGTGTTTCCACCCACTAAGCTACCTCATCAGCCCCGAAGGAAACTTTCATTGAGCTAAGTATGGTGAGAAAGAACATAGACCTCATGTCCACTTTGCCCAGTTTTTCTAGAAAAAATTCATACAATATCACGTTGGGCCTGATGGTATGTGCCTGCGATCTTATCACCTGGGGGGAAGAAACAGGATCAGGAGTTAAGATCATTCTTGGAAAACTGTGAATTTGGTGCCAGCCTGGGATATATGACACCCTGACTCAATTAAAAAAAAAAGAAGGCAAAACAAGGAAAAATCTGGTACAAACTGGGTGTATAGCATAGACCTTTAATTGTAACATTCAAGAGGGGAAAGCAGGTAAACCTATGAATTTTGGGCTTGCCAGGTTTAAATAGTGAGACCCTATGAAAAAAAAAAAAAAACCCAAGGAGTTCAATACCCCACCATGATGTGGACACTGACACAGCCACCAACACCATTGCCCCAGTGTCCTGTGTGTGTGTGGCTGTTAGAACATTATCACCTGTGGCTCATGCATCCATCACTAAGGGACACAACGTATACAACACGGTAGCTCTGTCCCCAAAGGTCCTTCTGGTTTGCCCTTTTGAAACCACACTTGTCTCCTCGCTCTGCCCTTCCCCCTCCCAATTCTTGGCCTTTTAATCTGCTCTCCTTTGCTAACATGCTGTCATTTCAAAATGCTATGTAAATAGACTCACGTGGCATGTGACCTTTCAGGATTGGCTTTTTCGTCCACTTTAATTCTGAGTCTTCTGAGTTGTGATGGGTGTCCAGGCCCTCTCTTCTCATGGTTCGGAATTTCTGGGACAACTGTACCACCTTGGTTTCATAATTCCTCTACTGAGGGACATCTGGTTGTTTCCAATTTTGAGCTCTTACAAATAAAACTATCATGAATATTCAGTTATAAGTTTTTGTTTGAACATAAATTTTCAACCACCTGGGACCCAAGCATGCAATTGCCAGGATATGTGTTAGCTGTTTGTTCCGTCCGCTAAGGACCTCCAAGCTGTCTCCAGAGTAGCTGCTGCGCTGTATTCCCAGTGGCCAGACAGCAGAGGCCCAGGGGCCCCATCTGGACTGCATTTGCTGCTGTTGCTTTTTTTTTTAAATTTCAGGCATGAAGTATTTCTCCTGATGGTTTTTTTTTAATGTGTTTATTTGCATGCATGCGTGTGTGTGTGTGTGTGTGTGTGTGTGTGTGTGTGTGTGTGTGTGTGTGTGTGTGGTGTGTGTGGACAGTTTTGTGGAGTCTGTTCTCTCCTTCCACCTTTGTGTGGGTTGTAGAAATCAAACTTGGGTCATCAGGCTTTAACCACTGAGCCATCTTGCTGGCTTTCCTTCTGGTTCTCAGTGTGTACTTCCCTGATGGCAGAAGATGACATTTCCCCAGGTACTTATGTGCCTATGGAGACATATCTGTGCATTTTTCTTCTGGATGGATTGTCCTTTTACTGTGGAGTTTATGAACTGAGGGGGTCCCGGGTATCAGGTTCTATGATAGAAAGAGCAGTTCACACAGGTACACACACACACACACACACACACACACACCACAGGAGTAGTCTTAGAGCTGGCCTACTGGAGTGACCTGAGAAAGCAGAATAATAAGCAACATCAGAGACTGACATGGAGGCACATGAGAATGACCTAGTTAGAGCAGAGCTCCAGGGGTGTGACACCTGAGTGTGGCCTTGAGCATCCAGGGGACAAGTGTCCAGTGCAGGGATCAGCAAATACCCAGGCAATGCTGTGGAGAGAGGCAGCCTGTGAGGAGCAGAGTGAGCTGGAGGCAGGCACATGACATGGTTTGGTTTGCAAAATGACAGGAAGCCATCAGAGACTCCAAGCAGAGGCAAATGGATGCTTAATTTCTGTTCCACTGTCCTCACTGACCCAGCAGCCCTCACTCTGTCACCTCTCCTCACAGAAGCCCATAAGGGTGAGGGGCCAGTAGGGTCACCTCCCTCCACTCAATGCCTTTGAGCCTGGGAGGCAAGAAGGTGTCAGAGGAGCTATTTAACATTCCTTGGCAGCTCAATCAGACCCTCTCCCAGACAGACAAGTGTCAAATATTCATGAGGGTGACCCGTGCTCACCCCTCCCTGCTCCTGCCTCCCTCACCGTGTGCCGGGCCCAGGCCATAGGCTTGACTCCTCTGTGGGGAATAGACAGGCTGCCTCCCTTCCTCTGCCCTTTATTCTCTTCAGAGAGCTGTGCTACCTCAAGAAGGGAAGCTGTCCCAACCCCTGTGCAGAGATTCACAGGGAGAATTCAGGCCACCCACCCAGATAGAGGATCCAGTTCAGGTGTCTAGACATCACTCTGACTCTCCACTGGGGATAAAATGACACCAGGACCCCCTAGCCCAGGGTATTCGTGAACAGTTGCTTTTGGAGATTGTAAATCTGGTTAGGGAGCTTGGGGACCCCACCTTCTGAAGTCTCTCCAGGGACCTAGTCCCATGAACAATGACTTTGGAAGTCTCTAACAAAGATTACCCAAACTTTGGAGTCAGAATACCATGTTACAGTGTGGGTTGTCCCCAAACTCCTCATAGATTAGTTTTCTTGCCTGTAAAAATATGGTGTGACCCACCTCGGTGGGTTGTGGCAACAAGATGACTTGAGCTCAAACCCACAAGCACTGAGAGGTCTCAGCCTGCTCTGTGGGGGAAATCACAGAGTCCACCACACCTATCTAGGGTTTGAGACAAAAGTCTGCAAGTGCCAGCACTTGGGGTGGGGGTGAGTGGGGGGGTGGGGGTGAGTGGGGGTGGGGGTGAGTGGGGGTGGGGCTCATAACCCTGTTAGAGGTTTTGACACTCTCAGTTTCTCCTCCCCTCCCCCCCCAAGCAGAGTCCTCTGCAATGCATTCATGAGATAATGAAGCACCAGCTGCCCGACCCACCCTGTCCCCTCAACCCCTCTGCCCCTCCCCTTGACCAACACACAGATTTTATTCATTGAGGCCATTTCTCTCCTGAATGAGATGTTTAATAATGCAGAAGGTGCCTCTGACCCAGCCTGGGCATGGTGTGTGCAAGCATGTGACTGCGTGTGGGTCTGTGCATGCATGCAGGAGTACTCACGCGTGTGTTTGAATATGCCAGTGTATAAGCACAGTATGTGTAGGGAGATGCCTCCTTCCACATCCCTGGCAGCCCCTGAGAGTATGATGGGATGACATCCGTGAGCTAAGACCTTACGTGTGCCATTGCTGTGCTAATGGGTGACGCGGCAGAGACAAAGCAAGCCAGAAACCTGAGGGGCTGTCATGGCTGACTGCAGCCTAGCCAGCCAGAAGCTACCCTGCCACCACTAGGGACCCATGATGGCAGACAGTTTGACAGTCAGAACTGAAGCGCAGTATTGCTATAGGCAAACAAACATCTCTGACTCCTCCACAGTGGCTCCAGGTTGACCTTTTCTTATTCACACCTACTCAAATTTAGTTCCCACTGTCTCTCAACAAACCCCCACCCAGGTCCCCCTAATTGACTGGCCAAGACAGCCACGGGCATGCTTCATCAAATTTGGTGGGTGTTCCGCCCAAGTGGTCACACAGATTTTCATCTACCCTCAGCTCACTTCCAGGTGAAAACTCAGACCAAACAAGGCCCCTCCCTGGGAGAAAGGGTGTGTGTCCTGCGTGAGCCCTCTCTCTTCTCTAGGCTTCAGTCAGTTCTCTAAGGAACTGTTTGGCTCTGGCAACCTGGCTTGTGGAGGGCCGTGCTTGAGGTGAACAAGTCTAGGCTCACTTCTCTGGAACCTTCTTCTGGGGACCCACCTTATGTCAGAGCCTGAGTGCAGAATGGAAAGAAACCAAACCATGGAGGTATGGTGGGCAGAAGAGCTCTCTCTCTCTCTCTCTCTCTCTCTCTCTCTCTCTCTCTCTCTCTGTGTGTGTGTGTGTGTGTGTGTGTGTGTGTGTGTGTAGGGGATCCTCCAGCCAGCCCTGCTGTAGCCAGGCTCCTGATAGGCTTAGAACTGGCCTCACCCGGGATATCAGAGTTGCCTACAGGACCTTCTGGTCTGTATTAACCCCACCCCCACCCCGTGTCTATTCCCTCTGCAGGAAGCAATGAAGGCAACAGATGGCAGCCTCCTCGGAGACCCTGGGCGCATACCACTGAGCAAAAGGGAGGGCATCAAGTGGCAGAGGCCACGGTTCACCCGCCAGGCCCTGATGCGATGCTGTTTAATCAAGTGGATACTGTCCAGCGCTGCCCCGCAAGGCTCAGGTAGGATAAGAGCGGCTGGGGTACAGAGAGGCAGGGTAGAGCTCGCTGTGAGCTCTGTTCTTCCTGAGGCCACTAAGGCCACGTTGGACCATCCTGCCTCCAGCTCTGTTGGGAAATTGTCTCTCTGTTCATTCACTTCCCACTGATGCCTTGTTCCACACAGACCTGAGCTCTAGCACAGGTCTGCAGCACACAGGGACAGAGGACTGGAGTCATGCACAGGTTCTTCAGAGAGTAACTGAACTATTGAGGCAGGCTGGAGGCTGAGAAGCCGGCTCTGCCTCACCCAGCGCTCCCTGCGGGGCTGTCTTGAACATCTCACCCATCCCTTCTGAGTTCTCTATAGAAAGGGCTCTGGACCCACCCACGGGCAGAGTTGTAACATACCTTAATCTAGTTGTTCCTGATGTTTGCTCCCTATACCCAGAGACTGAGGCTGGTATTCTGGGGTGTTCATGGAATGGTGTTGGCAGCAAAAACTGTGCTGTGCTTATTCATGGCTATTTGGGAGTATTTGCCAGGAATGATGGTTCAGAAAATGCAGAGACAACCTCACAGAGGCCCGCAGGGGTCTCTCATACATACACACTCACATATTTGCACACATGAGTGTGCATACACAGATGTGCGCTATGTGTGTAGAAGTACAGCCCCACACTAGCATGCCAGGATCAGTTGCAAGGTCCCTCCCATACCACATGTTTTTGATGGCACAGAGGCATGTATGAGACTCTGTCACTGGAACAATGTACATGCTTGGCCAGGAGACCTGCTTTACGTGTTTTCTTAAAAAACTCAACTCTCTTGCTGTGTGATTTCCAGGGAGTCTCAGTCTCTTTGTCAGATAATGGGTGCAGTCAGTGTTCCTAACCTCCCAGGTTGGGTGAGTTGAAGGGAGATGGCAAGCACAGTGGCCTGTGCACGCATATGGATGGGGGACAAGGCTGCTGCATCCTAAGACCCTATCTTTATCTGCAAAGCCCACCCCAAGCTGGTCTCTGAACCTTTCCCACAGAAGCACATGTGGGGAGACTTCATGCCCCGCCCCAGCTGTTTTGTGGACCTTCAGGCGGCAGAACATGGTGAGTCTACCTCACAGTGCTCTGCGATTTGCATTGGGGTGAGATGCTTCCCATTGTCCACCACGGTGAACAGCTGTGGCCTGTGTGTGTGTTCAAGGGACTCAGTTTCCATCCTAGATGGCTCATCTTTCTGTCCCCTTCAAATTCAGAGTCCCGTCCCCCGACATCTGTCATCTTGAGTGACAGCTGGAATCATGGAATCAAGGGCTGCTGAAGCCCTTTTTCCTTCACGGTGCCCGCTGTGACCAGCAGGCCTGTCTACTGGGCAATGGTGGTTCTGGATGGCGCCACACACCTGTGATGGCAGTACCATGATGAGTTGGGTGGAGAATCAGAAAGCAAGCAGGGTATGTTCCCAGTCACCACAGGATGGGAACGGCCACACCCCGGGCCCTCCCCCATTCCGTGTGGCTTCTTAAAAGGGCGGGGCCTTTTCCCAGCCACTCCCCTCAGAGGTACACAGGAGAGAGTAGAGCCAGGACATCAGGGACCAGTCCAACCCAGCCTGTATTGGCATGGATGGACATGATTACCAGAAGTTGCCAGGCACCAAGAGGAGCTACGACTGATGGGAAGCAAGCCATGTGACCACGTGCTGCAGCCCATCTCTTGCTTCATTTTACTTAAGAGTCCACAGGTACTGAAGAGATTAAATGGCTTATTGGGTTCCCTGGCATTTGGGGCAGGGACAGCACAGCCTGAGGAGTGGAAACCCCATACTCTCTGACTCCCCTGGGCGAGCTCCTGAGCCTCAGTTACTCAGTCAAAATGCATCCATTTGCATCCTTAAGGAGGACACCATTGGTGTATCCACACTAAAGGTTTTATGTGTGTAAAATGCCGTCCTCTGGTTGATGAGTTGGCTTCTCGGGCTCTTTGCACAGAACAATAAGTGGCATTCAGGGCATCTCCGTCACATGTCCAGTGAGGCCTGCCACAGCATCCTGAGCACTGGGTGCCTGTGGCAGCCCAGACACTGCCCTTGTTGGTTTTTTCCATTCAGCAGTAGGATCAGAAAAACAGATACCCAGGATTGCTGAGAGTGGAGGTCAAGGCCTAGCAGCATTCCCAAGGCTTGAGTGAGCTGGGACCTAAACAGAGGGTGGGCAATACTCAGGGTCCTTAAAGTGGTGAGCAAGGACTGGCCTGTGCCCTGAGGGGGACTACCCAAGATGCAGTTAGGAGGGGGCAGCTGCAGTGGTCTCTAAGATGCATGGGCCCAGAGGGTGGGGTAGGGCAGGCAGCTTGATCTCCCCACCCAGAAGCATCCAGGACCCTAGAGACGGCTCTTCAGTGTGCCAGAACTGTGACTGTCCTGTTCTGTGGGTGGCTTTTCCTGGCCAAATGCCTTGGGAGGCATGGTTTCAGATTAGCTGATGCTGCCAACTGGACAGACCTGCTTCTCAAGTTTATCACCCCAGGAGGCCTGTGAGATTTGGGGTTCTTCAATTATCTGACTTAGAATAAACATCTTCCCAGAATGGCTTGGGGTCCTGGAAGCCTGAGTTAAGCAGAAGGCAGAGACTCTGAGTCTGGGGAAGGTCACAGAAATTCTGGAGGAGCAGAGAACCAGTAGATGATAAAGCCCAGGTCCAGCTGCCACGGTGGGAAATGCTTCACATGCAAAGTGTCACACAACACAGCATTCACTACACCAAGGACACCACACTTCTTACCCCTCCCCAGAAGTGTAGGCCCACAGGCTCATCAATGCCAGTCAAGTCTCAGGGTCAGTTCAGATTCAAGAGAGGACAGATAGATTCCCTGCACCATGTGCTGCAGCACAGAGTGACCATCTTTAATCCACTCCAGTTTCTGAGTTCTCAACACAGCAAATCAAGCCTTCACTCCTTAGAGGGCTGCACCATCTGTGGCCCTGCCCAGGGAGATACTGTGATCCCCATCCACTAGTGTAGTTAGGGTTCCAGAGAAGCCAGACACTGCCCTCCTTGCTACTCTGTGTACCTGGCCTATACTCAAAGTGATAAGAGTAGACCAAAGGGGCCAAGTACCATCTCAGCCTCTGGGCAACAGCCCCATATGGGTGTCTCCCCTTGGGGCTTCTTCCTCTGGAATCTAAATTTTTTCACCTGGAACCCAAAGCATTGGAAACAGGGGATGCACTGAAGGGATAGGGTGACTGAAGGACCACCTCCTGGCTTCACCAGGTCCCTGGGACACCTTCTGGACAGAGAGGTAGATAGTGTTTAGCACTATGTCCCTTTGTGCCTGAATCCTGCAGTTGTTTCCAGCCATCCCCAGTCTTTACCTGGCACCTCTATAGTTCCAGCTGTGCCAGGAGCAGAGAGAGGGGAGGATTGGCAAAACATGGAGAAAGCCCCTTGGTCAATGACAGTGATGTACGTGACCTCTGTGTGTGGTCTGCACATCAGCGGGCGTGCTGGAGGGTCTGCAACCAGGGACTAGGCAACCCTAGTGAGGTTTAAGAGTGATCCCTTGGCTACACTCCAGAGCTGTGGCTGAGCTTGGCCGCCACCTGCTGGCTGACTGGGCACAGGACACCAGCTGCAGCCAAGGCAACCAGGAAGAGGCTCTTCTCTTGAATGCTGAGTACTCTAAGTCAAATGAAATAAATGGTACTTTGTTTATGGGCAGGTGCTGTAGTGGCTAGAAGGAAAGGCCACCTAGATCCCAAGCTGTCAGGCACCTGCCAAGCCCTGGCACCCTCTAAAGAGCATTTAGAAAGGATTCATCCCTCAAATGGGTCCTTCTCCAACCGTGTCCCTTCTGCCTCCCTGACACCTGACCCCATGGTTAACCACAGGCCATGATCAATGGGAAGCTCTCTCTCAGGCTAACTCTCCTTCCAGGCAGCTCATGAAGCAGCATGCCAGGCAGCTGTATGCAACATTCTTCCCACCACGAAGATGGGGAAGATGTCCCTTTCCACTGCCCTTGCCCCGAGGGGCCTCACTGCTTGATGTCACCTTTCCTGCCACTCTGCCTGTCACTCAAGTGTAATTTCCCTCCTTAATCAGTCTAAGAGACCCCTGCGAGGAATCAGCATGGATGAGAATGAGGACAAAGCAGCAGGAGGTTGAGCTGCCTGCCCACCTGTCAGTCCTACCCCCAGCATATTCTGCCCTGGCTTGGACCTCATCCATATCAGTGTATGTGGTGGCAAAGAGATAGATATACACATAGCCACTAGGCCTGGGGCTAGAGGCAAATGCCAAGTTCCTGAGAGTTAGCTCAGAATTCACTACCACCTGGTACCTATATTCTTCGATCTGTCTCTACAACAGACCAGTAGCTGGCAACTAGTTGTAAGCTAAGGGAAAGAAAATATTGCCAAAGAAACATGTTTTTCTGGAAAACTGAGAGCATGCCATTCTCCTGTTGGGACCTGCATGGACCCTGAGGGTGTCACAACTTACCTTAGCTACATGCTTTTGCAGTTACTGAATATGCCGGGTCAATATACCCCAGGCTAGAACTGTCTGCTGGTCCTGCTGCACAGCCTTTGTGTGTGACCAGGTACACAACATATTACCAAATACTGCACTTTTTTCCCCCACCTGGTAGAGTGTGCAATACACAATGGTTCATCTTTCACTTTCAAAGAGGCAATTTGACTCACCTACATTTGCATGTAGCAGAAGCCCCGATGAGCAGTGGCTCCATTTGAGTTAGGAAGTAAGAGTTTGCAAAGCTTGGTTCTTCAGCCCTTTGCTGCTCAGCTGCAAAGTGGAGACCAGCTCTAGCTGTTATGGCATCATTCCAGGCAAAAGGAAGGAAAAGTCCTATGGAAGGAGAAAGTGCTGCTGTTTGTAGGGGGCCTACTTGTGGAAGACACACACGGAGGGCTCTTAGAGTACTTAGGCAGGCCTGGGTCCGGATCCACTATGAAGATAAAACCATCCCTGGCCAGCCCCTCTCTCTCCAGACTTAGGAGCC